TGGGTGGCTTTGGAGAATCGATCCCGATGATTGACGATGGCCCGGCAGCGGCAGAAGCAAAGGCTGCTGCTGCCGAACAACTAAAGGGCGCCCGGGAAAAGGCAGCGGTGACGGAACCGAAGCCCGGGGACACCACCACCGAGGAATCGGCAGCTGGAGGTGAAAGCCAGACAGACACCCTCACTCGAGGTCAGCGTCTGAGAAACCGCGTGAAACAGCTGTGCACGATCGTCTAGAAAAACGTGTCGTCGATAGCGGTCGAACGAAACGATGGCGACGATGACATTTCTCTCTATGATAAGTTTCGATTTTGTAATCGCCTTGTTTAAGCTCAACTTGATCTGTGCTTGTTCATTGTCCAACGTACTGCTATTCTTTACTAATTAATGATAATAATAATTGCGATCTAATTAGTGGAGTTTAAAAATAAACGTTTTAATTCGTTATATTTTTAATTTCAACGTTGGAAACACTGTACGTTCGTATCACCTAGCCAAAGCGAATAGATCAGTGATAATCTTCATAAGTTAAGTTTTGGCTTCTTAAAAAACGAACGGTTCGCAGTCAGTACGCGAATGACCAAGAACATCAAGATGGAGTGTTCGCCTATTTGGAAACTTGCCGTCGTGGCAGTCCGTTTCTTGTTCTTCCTATGAACTAGAAACTGAGTCCCACAAAAATGTCAGTCAAAAGAATGTGTACCCCGAGGCAAAATGAAGTGTGCAAATGACATCTTTTTCCTGGAGGTCCAATAAATCGAGACGTGGTCCGTTGAGATTCAAAGTGAGATGAGCAGTGATGAAATGGAGGTTCTAATGTCCTAGTAATAAACTGTTCCTTTATCTCTTCTCGATGGTCTGCCAGGTTAATAATTCCTCGCCTTGTTGACCCACTAAGACACCAAAACCACGTTACAGGTTTAACCTGAGACCGGTGACGATACGGTACCAGCCATAACGCCATCAAGTAAATAGTAAACTCTAAGGCTGTAGTAAAGTAAAATGCGAAACAGATTTTCAGGTTCAATGAAGGCTATGAACTATAATTTGTTAATGGAACAACTCGTATCATTACGAGTTAAACCATATAATTACGATATTACGGCTATTGCATAAACATGAAAATATGTTCATACATCGGATTATGTCTAAAAATAAATGACTTCCGTGACACCTGATTTTACGGCGTACCGCACCGCTTTCTTGCTCCTGGTTACCTGGCAGTGGGGATTTTTGCATTCTACAGCTACATAAGATGTTCGAGTACTTGCAGTGCCAGTACTCGCATCATTTTGCTCGCTAGATCCACTTGGCGTTCATTACGAATGATGTTTCAGAAGCCGGCACTCCCTGTACATTATCGCATAGGGATTCTGAACTTTACATAGTCCCCCGAAGAACCTCAAAACGACTGTTTTTGTTTACTCACCAAGACGACGAACACTTATCGCAAATAACATCTTTGTTAGCCGCTATGAAAACGCATTCCTTTGCTGAAACGCTTAAGTGATTCACAAGTTTCTTTGAAACATGGAAACATCAGCCTCGCCTAATCGCTGCCCTTAATCTAATGCGCGTTCTACGATGGCCGCTCTGAGCGACTTTGCTGATGCACAGGAAAAATTTTGCTTCGTACAGACACCAAAATTTCTTAATGTTACATGCATACATTCAAACTGAACTTTCTTGTGAAAGACAGTGTTTCAAAAAGAATCGTTTACCATACATATCAGTTAGAATTCCTCAAAGTTAACTGACGTATTGACAACAATAACTGAGTGCACTTTTTCATAAATAATTAGGTGAACTATGCCTAGTCTCGATGCCAATGTTTGTCTGTTTTATACGACTGTCAGCACAAGCTTTCATGTCACTTTTAGCTCGACATCCCATCCGAACCGACGTCCTCAGTGTCGCCACTGCTGAATTCCGCAGTCGTGAAATGCGACATGCACACTGACGTTAAATCGAAAT